ACGAGTGAAGTGAGTCGGTATTTGAGCTCAGTCACCGAAGTCGACGCCGATGTGAGAGCGCGTTTGTTAACCCACCTGTCCACGTACATCAACCAGTCATCTAGTTCGTCAACAGTTTCCTCTACGGCCACGTCGCCTACATCGACCACGTCCGCTAACGCAATTAATGCTCCGGTCAGCCGGCCGTCGTCTGTTACCGACACGTCACCACGTCAGTCACCAGTATCTATAAAGACGCCGCCTTCCCCGTCAGCTACACCAACCTCGTCCCAACACGTGGCACCCTCACAAGCTCCAGCTCCTCCACCTCCAGCACAGATACAATTGCAATTGACACCGTCGCTGGCCCAGTCAGCATCTACCGTCCAGTGTTCCCAGATCTCAGTGTCAACGGCCCAATCGACTACCCGTCCAGAATCTATGGTCGCGCCGAAACAGATCACGATCTTCCCTGCTGACTTTTGCACAGCGACTACGACAACGACGGCAGCGACCTTAACAGCTCCGGCCGCAGGAGGCATACTGTCATTGGACACGAGTTGCCCTCAAGTACAGTCCGCTAAATTATTGAGTGGTGTTCAATTTATTACCACGAGGCTCCCAAATGGGCAAATGGCGTTTGTCTTACCTACAAACCTTATGACGGAAACACAGCAATCGCAACAGCAGCAGCAGCAGCAACAACAACAACAACAACAGCAACAACAACAGCAGCAGCAACAACAACAGCAGCAGCAGCAGCAGCAACCACGCCAACAATCACAGCAAAGCTACATCCCCATCCCGGTCTATGCTCCTACATCTCCTGCCATTTCACCACTGGCTACGACGGTGAGTGGTGCACCCGGAGTAATGGCTCTCCTACCGCAAGTTTCCAAAACCGGAGTCACACCAACAACCAGTATGGCATTTATGCCCCATCTATTTTCACTTCCACAAATGACAGGGGTAAATTCCTCCATTCCACATTTACCTTTAATCAGGGCGGATACAAACGAAGCGGCAACGGCTGGAACCGTGGCTGGGACAGTAGCGGGGACCGGGTTGACTGTTCCGGTCAAACTGTCCCCGTCAATTACTGAGATTAATCCACCGGTTTTATTGCCCGAATTGACCAAAAAGCTAGCGTCGACTCCGGCTACCCAGCAGCAAACGCCAGCAAAACGAGAGGAGAATAATGTAGCCGGACCAGCACCGGTTCTTCAACAGATTGAAGAGGGTAATGTCTGGCGGCCTTGGGCCCACTGACGAAATAAATGGGTTCAGTTGAGACCCAAAAACTGAAGTCACAACAACAGCACACAGACACAACAACTTCCGCATCGATTATTATTATTATTATTATTATTAATATTATTATTATTATTACTGCCATCTTCATTCTCTTTCATTATAATTTACAAATCTTTCAAATCAAAATGTCGCGCTTTCATTATTTTCTATTTCTTTCTATTACTGTCATTTCCTTTTCCATTTTCATCATTGTTTTTCTCCGTCATCTTTATTTCGTCTTTTCCATCAAGCAATAATGTTTTTTTTTATCATTGTCATGGTTGCCACTTACTGTAGCCACCATGGTTCATCCTGCCACCTGCTCCTCTTTTCGTCATTGATACAAGTGCCTTAAATCATCAAAATACATTCATCAAGTGTCCCAGTGACAGTTATAATGCCTGAAGTACCGTTTACATTTTACAGAACTCTTCAAAAAAAAAAAAAAAGAAAAAAAAAAAGAATCATGCTTGATAAATGTTCTATATTTTATGAATTAAGAGACAGGAATTTATGAGCCACAAACTGAACTTTTTTTTAAAAAAAAAAGAACTATTTTATTTTGACTTGCATTCTCAGCAAAGATGGAAATTTATATTATTTAGATATATAAAAAGAAAATGTTTTTATTTTTGTCAAATCCTTTGCGGGACCATTCGGCGATACAAAATGACAAAGACGCCACACTATATAGGGACAGACCTGTGTATATACACTTGTATCCAGAATTGTATATTTACTATACAGAGTTTCACAGAAAAGGAATAGTCATGTAGTCGGAAACAAACTCCCCAAATAATAACTGTATGCGAATACTCATTCACAAACCTTTCATTAATTATATATATATATATATATATATATATATATATATATATATATATATATATATATATATATATAATTATAATTTTTTTATTTTAATAGATTACAATAAAAACATTTTACATCGCTACACAAAAGCTTTCATGTTTCAATACTAAGACTGTAATTCCTCAGGAGATGGTAGATAACTTGTCCAATATTTTGATATGTATTGAGCTTTTTATTTTTAAATACAAATGACATGAACTGTGGATTTTTACATCATCTGTTCTTTCCCTTATTTGGGTATATATATATATATATATATATATATATTAAGTATAATTAAGTTTTGTCATTTCTTCCTGATGAGTTTTACATAGGCACACAGGATATTTGTGTGTGTGTGTATCTATATTTGTGCACGCTTACGTGTATGTGCAAATATCTATTGGCGATTGACAGAACATAGTTACGCTTTGTAACAAAAATAGTTAATAATTACTTTATAAAGATAGAATTTGAAAATACATATATCTCCACAAATATCAGATATGCTTCTCACTATCTCTCTTCACCCTTCTCTCTCTCTCACTCACACTTTCTCTCTACATTTATATATATATATGCGTAATACACCACGCCGACAGTACAATTCGGAGTTTCATGCCTAATGCAATGGTCAAGGTACTGTTCGTTGTTTAAACTCCGAGTTGTAATGGCGGCATGAGACATCATGCATTTTTGTCAATATATATTTAATAGCACTGTTATTTAGCATTGAACACTGTTTTTCTTACACAAAATGATATATGGTAATTTTCTAAGCGCAGCTTAGATGTGGCACAAGGTCGAAAGTATGGGGCACCCAGTGAGGATCGAACTCACTATTCAGTTGTTACTGTTCTAGCGAGACAAGCTTGCTAACCATTACATCACCACGAGCTGCCCCACTAAAAATTGCATTATATTACATTACAAATAAAATTGCATTATAAATAAAAAAATTCAACAATAAAAACGTTCACTCACTTTCGTTTATTAGGCATTAAATTAATTTACCTTGATTTTCAGTTAACCTGATGTCGAATTATGAGCGTTCTTAAATTTAAAAATACTAAAAACCTAACGGTGTTTATTATTTCTGTTTGTAAATATTTGTTGCAAAATAAAAGACTTATATTTGCTTTCATAAAGTCCAACACAGGACGAAACGCGTCGAAGAAAAAGAGAGAATGAAAGAGAGAGAGAGAGAGAGAGAAAGAGAGACTGACTTCTAACTTAACGGTCCATCTATTTAACACCTTGCGTCTTCTGACCAGATATAAAATCTTATAAAGTAAAAAAATAAAAAGGAAAATAAAAATAAAAAATCCAGCCAGTCTATATTGCATAAATATCGTCAAAATATACGCGGTTTTTCCCAAATGAAAGGAAAAAAAACACTACTGTTTTTTAAAAAAAAAAAAAACAACCAAAAATCGGGAAATTATCCGATTTAAATGAAATTTTCAGCACTTATTTATTAATAAATAAATTTTAGAATGAATAGGGTATTTTATAGAAATATTCTTTAGGTCAGTTGCACCACTGCATTCGATTCAGTATTGGATTTACATTATGCAAACCGATGTAATGTTCAGAATATCAAGTGGATAGTTTTTTTTAGTTTTTTTTATAACGTTTAATGTTCGGTACTGTATAAGCATTTAGAGATAAATTAGAAATGTTACAAATGATGCAAAAGTAACATTAAAGCCATCTGAAGCTGCTTGACACAAGCCCATTACACGCGTAGTATGACTGAAATAGCGGCTAGGTATAATATCTCACTTAAAAACCAGTTCGTTGAGTGAGAAGTGACTATATATATATATATATATATATATATATATATATATATTAAACACGTTGTATTAAACGCCAAAGTCCTGCTGATTTTCTTTTGTATTTTTTCATATTTCCGAATGAGACTTTTTATTTCCAAAAATATTCGGAAATATGAGAAAATACAAAAGAAAATCAGCAGGACTATGTTGTTTTTTATGTTTAATGCAACGTGTTTAAAAAGAGGATGATGTCTAAATACACACACACACACACACACACACACACACACATATATATATATAAATATATAGTCAGAGAAGTAACAAAATACATATATATATATATATATATATATATATATATATATATATATATATATATATATATATATATATATATATATATTCACTCCCAAATATATATATATATATATATATATATATATATATATATATATATATATAATTAACAAATCATAAAATATAAAATATTACCATGGCTTTCTGAAGTCTCCGAATTGTTAATTAATTATTACTTGCTCTGTTTACTACATTGAGCTCTCAGGATTTATATCCTCCTGGAATTATCTATATAGATTAACAATTAAGTTTATCATATATATATATATATATATATATATATATATATATATAAAATGAATAAAAGGGGAAAAACTATTCTTAGCCTACGCCTTTCGGCCTCTGAGGGTATTTTATAATTTTTCTATTGATTTTTTTTTTATTTTGTTCCTTTCATTTATATATGTTTGTTTGTGTGTATGCATGTATGTATACGCTTGATTTCTGTTCTTACTAAGATAATTCAGGCGAAAAGTATTTTAGAAATCTACATACACAGCCACACGCACACACGCGCGCACACATTCACATGAAAGCAAAGAGGCACATACAGTTTCCCTTCTCTCTGTACCACCTCCTTTCCCTCCACCGCTCTCTTTTTGTCTATCTATCTATCTATCTATCTATCTATCTATCTATCTATCTATCTATCTATCAAACTTTCTTTGTTTCTTTCTCACATATTCCTCAGCACAAACACACAATTTTGTTCTCTCATACGAAGCCAAAACTTAAAGAACATAATTAGCTAAAAGCAAAGACCTTTTTGCTGTCAACCGCGAAAACTGTTCCTAATGCAAAAGTCTTATAAAGTTTTGTTTTGTATCAAGGACAAAGCTTACATATTTTAAAGTCGATCAAATATAGTCTTTTACAACGAAAAATTTTTTTTTCTTTTTGGTTGGGACCAATGTAACCTTCTCCATCCGTCCATATGTGAAATGCGACACGAAAATAACGTCTTGTCAGCAACATGAAATTTGTTAAAAAATACGAAGAGAACTGAATTGTGTGATTTCCACGGATTTTTCATTGTAATCATCCAATTGAAGAAGCACAAATTGGAAAAATATATTTGAACGTTTTGTATATTTTTACTAAAAAGTTCGACTTGTTACAAACCAGAAAAAAAAACTTTAAATGATACAAAAGAAAACATTCCTTAATGAATTTACGATTTTTCTATATATGATCCAAGTCAAAAAATTTGCAATGCATTTTTATTATGCAATACTCTATATTCTTTATTTGTATAAATATTATACGAATAATTCGTGGAAATATCACATTTACGTCTCTTTAAAAAATATTATTTCTTTTAAGATTTAACTACAATGTGATTAATCACATACATCAAGAATGGTTACAAATGAAACAGACGATATTAAAATTCATTAACTTCGAAACTAAGATACTGACAGTCACAAAATAGTTTTTTTTAAAGAAGCCCTTGAATTGTATTACGCCATCTTACATGAGTTTAGCTGCCTATCGGCTTTAGTCACTCACTCGACAAACTTTTCTATGACCTTTCACGAATTTTACCTTTGTACAAACATCCTTTTGTTTCAAATGTTTTGTACCATACATGGATGAAGTGTCTAATTGGTGGTCATTTTCAGAAATGTGTTCTGAAATACCGTAAGGATAACAGAAATCTTTTTTCTTCATTCAGTCATATAAAAAGCATTCTCAACGATATCTGCAGACATCTTGTTTCACCACTTCCTCTCATGTACCGTATCACTTCAGAACGTCGATGATCATGGCTCTCCACAACATCCTATCCTTTGTAGTCCTAAGTAATGTTTTTCTTCGTGCTCACACTTCCAGTTCATGTTGTGCTATCTATTTACACAAGCAATACTCGTTACTTCCTTCTAAGCTTCCCGCCTTCAATATATCCTGTCAGTGTCAATTTCTCGAAGTCTTCTTTCCTCTATGTCCTAGTAATTTCAACTAACTCTATCTGATGCTAAGTACGTTTCTGTTTCCATTTTCCTTAAAACTTCATCTTTACTCATTTACTCCATGTATGGTATCCTGAGCATCTTTCTGTAGAACCATATCTCAATTACCTTAGGACCCCCTCTTCATTTTTTTTAATTAATTCACCCCAGGCAAGGCGATAACGTCACTAAGACGCAAAGAGCTACTGGAAGGGAAAGAGAAGGAAAATACTTTAGAAGGAACGAGAAACCCAATCCTAAACAGGAAACAAGGGATAAACCTCTACTCCTGTTCAAAATAGCGGGGAGAAGTGTGAATTGGAAGAGAGGTGAAGCTATCATTTGTGAGGAAATTGCCTAACATGCACTGCAATATAAGAGGATTCTCCTTCTTGTTCTTGTAACGGCATTCACCCGAGGTGGGTTGAGCCGGCTCCAATATTGGAGTTTCATGGGAATTTGGAATTCACAAGCGGTCCCCAACCCACATGTATAGCACATGAGATTTGATTATAGTGGTGAAGGTTTCGTGCAGGACCATCCACATATTTGAAGGGCCGAATACAGAGACCTGGTGCACTACGTGCCACAAGGTCCCCAAACGACCCTCCGCAGGTTTTGAACTCAGAGTTTTCCTTCTCCTAGACCTATTGCCATCCAAGGGTATAGAACCCAGTCTGTCCTGCTATTTACCCATAGCTGGAGGGAGAAGAAGAGGATTCACACCTAAGTAAGTGAATGTAATGGATTCGACTGGAATTCGAACTCGGCTCTCCGATTCCTCAATCCAAGCCTTATATAGGAGGATTGATATCGCATTATAGTTCATTATTCTTTTCTTTGTTTCTAACGAAATTTTCCTATTTCGTAATATTTTGTTTAGCTTTTGGAAGGCATCTCCTGCAATTCGAATCCGTCTTTAGATTTCGGTGTCATATTTTTTTCTGTCGCCTGTTAAATAACTTCCACGATAGTTACATTTTCAGACTTGCTTGATTTTGCTAACCAACATTTATATCATGTTGCTATAATAATTTTTTACGTTGAAACACGTACGACCACCGATGTTAAGAAACGTCGAGCCTGGTCAGTATCTAGCTGGGTGAGTACTTGGGAGTACCAGATGCTACATGTAAGCTTGGATGTGCGGTGTGGTGTAATGGATACCGATACAGAATTGGAAATCAGAGTGCCGAGTTACAATTCCAGTCGGGTTTGTTATATTCATTTACACGCAAATACCCTTGGGAAAGGTATGAATCCATCTTTTCTCCCTCCCCCATGGATTAATTAGTAAAACTCGTATCAGTAAAAATCATTATTATCTCAAAAAAAAAAATTCTTACAGTCAAAATATATTTATCGGCTTTCCTACAAAAGGTTGATAAAACGTAAAAAATGCAAATCAATATAATACATTTCAAGAGATTTTCTAGAAAATTCTCCTTCGTGAATGTCAGTTTCTTAAATAAATATTTTTATTTTTTTGTAATTGGCCTGTATATACACACGATGGGCGAATAAAGGATTTTTTTTTATCCTGTATAGGACAACGCCTCCGTATGCATTTTAGATATATATTTTTAGATTGCTGACTCGAAGCATGAACATTTTTAATGAACAATGCCATGGGAGGTTTGACATTCGTGTCTGGAAATGGTTGGGTTGAAAACAAGTAAATAAATACAATCAATATTTCTTTACTTCTGGTGTTGACTTGTTATTTCATAAACTTTCTTCGTTTTTCATTTTGCTAAAAAGCTTTCATATGACACTTTTTTATTCCTCTCACGAGTGGAAAGGCCTATATACGAAGCGCTTTGCCTACAACTGCTTGGTCTCGGCTTCTTCAGGTCGGGATGGAAGACAAAACTGTGTGTAAGAAAAATGCGTTGGCATTTTTGAAAAGAAGAGGGGCAATAAATCATCGGATCTGAATAATCTATTGCCTCTCTTATCCTCAAAAATTCCAGCATATTTTCCTTACAGACAGTTTTGTTTTTCATCCGAACCTGAAAAATCCGAGACCATCAGACATGGGTGAAACGCGTCATTTATAAGCTTTTTCTCTTTGTCTCATCCATTTTTGTTTCGGAAACTATTATAATATACACCTGTTGCAGAATTGAATCAACCGACAACAAAGAAAAAGACGAAAGAGGTGTTTAAATATAAAAAAGATATATTTATTTTCGTGCTTTTAACAACTAAATTTTTCTTAGCGAGTATGAGTGTTAAAGTTCTTCTTTGTTTATAGTTATTCGTTAAGATGAAATGAAATGTGATTTCTTCGCGTGTATGTGTGAAAAAGAAGAGGCAAGAAAGAAAGTGAGGAGGAAACTGTAAGTATCACGTAGCTTGAAGAAGATGGGCGAATGAGTAAGAGTCTCGCCCGTCTCTCCTTTCTTTTTTTCCGTCTAGAAACTTTGCTTAAATACTCTTCAAATGGAACACGAAGCATGTTTTTATTATTATTTATTGTTGGCGGGAACGCGACCCGTTGGTTGGAAAATGTTAAATATTAATAGATTAATAAGAAATAATAAAGAAAAATGTTAAATATTAAAAAATTAATGCTTTAAAAGTCAAACCGGAAGAATGCGCGATCCTCCGACTCAGAAACCATTTTTGTCATTTGGCGCTTGACTGTCTTGGTGTTTATTTCCGTCTTCGCTCCACACATCCTACAAACGCACGTCTCACTTATCTAATTTTTTTTATGATCCTTCCGTACTTCCTGAAACTACACGCTTGCACATAACTATAAATAAGAAAGTTGCATTGATGCAGTTTTGATTATAATTAATAAATTAGTTTTGAAATAGAGCAAAGTACTTTGCTTATTGAAAATATTAAGTTTAATCTGTTAATTTGAAATTAAAACTAAAATAAAAGCTTCAAGAAAATTTTTTCAGTCTTAAAAATTCATTTTAAATCTTAGGCGGGACGAATCTGTGAAGGTAACTATAATAATTAAATCCTGTGTAGACGTTTAATAATAATGAAAATCAGCTTAATCGGAGATGTTTATCCTCATTGAAAAATCTACGTTTTTTGCCTCGTGATCATAATTTTTTCGCCCATGTATTTTAAACAGAAAAACAGATCGATATAACGACAATTAATCTTTCATCTCTGTTTTTAAATTTAGAGGTTGATTAGGTTTGAAAGGGAAGTAACTCATAAAACAAGAGACACAATAACGAGTTCTTTCCCTTGATTAAATGATCATCTCTTTATTTAAAGTCAAGGAATCATTAAATTTATCACCTATCTGATAAAAATGAATACCAAACTGTTACAGATAATAAAAGTACATGAAAGGATTCCTGTATTCCTATCAAAAATATCATATTTTACATGTGTGCACGCGAGTACACACGTATCAATTCATTGTATTTGGTGTAAATCTTTTTGAATTTTGTCTAAAATTGTGATACTATGTGGATGATTGAATATGAGCCTATACTTTATATATATATATATATATATATATATATATATATATATATAAATGAGAAAAAGAACAGATGGAGTAAAATTCCACTGTTCGTAGAATTTATTTTTAAAAAGTGCTCAATACAAAGTAGAGCAATATATTATTATTATTATTATTATTATTATTATTATTATTATTATTATTTTCTTTGATTTCTGGCGTTTACACATTTCTTTCCGGGTCCCGCCCAGGGACCTAAGGTTAGAAATGGCGTCATGACACTTTCCACTGACAAAAAAAAAAAAAAAAAAATTAAATTACATAGATAAAGCCCTTCGTAAGGTGTG